GGCCGGAGCTCGCGGAGCTGTTCTAGGTCTGGCGCGCCGAGGTCGCGCAAGAGCGACGTTCTCATTTCGTGTGGCCGCGCAGGACGGCGCGCGTGAAGGTGTAGCGACGCCGAGCCGGGCGGAGCGGGAACGGCTACCGCCCCTCATCCTCTTCGCCCGCTTTGGCATCCCGACCCCGACATGAAAACATTCGCGAGTGGGGTCGTGGGTGCCTTCGCTGTCGGAGTCGAGTAGCCGGGCGAGTCGCCATGAGCCAAGAACCGGCGCAAAGCCCTGTGGTTGTGGAGTCCGGAAAAATCCACCGGGCCATGCCTCGCCCTCGTCCGAGAAGTCGGAGGGGGTGCTCGTGTCGAGAGCGGCGACGCCGCGGCGTTCGAGGGGCTCGTGTGAGCGACAGAGTAAGCATAGGCGCGTCGAGGCGGGCGGCATTTCTCAACCCAAAAGGGTATGGGGACGGTGCGCGCCTCCAGATTCTCGCCCCGCCGAATCGGCTCTTGAGGAGTGGTGGAGCGGAGCTTGACGACCGGCATCGCCGCGTGCCACAGGCAAGTTTCCTTTGTCCAAGCTCAGGCTAGACAGGTCCCCAGCCAGGGACCCTATGCCAACAGCTGGTCGTAGGATATCGGCGAGGGGTAGCGTGTTGCCCCGGATTCATGTAGCGTCGGGGTGGCCTTGTTCGTGCCGTGCTTGGTGAGTGCGGCGAGAATGGCCGCCCGGACGCCGCCCGCGCCTGGGCTGCCGGGGCGTAACTTCATCGTTGGTTGGTGGGGCTCGAGGAGGGAGGAGCACCAAGTCGTACTCATGCCCTAGAGACATGAACTCTAGGCTCCCGAACCAAACCACGGTGCGAGACGCAATGGTCGTGACGTGGTCTCGCAATCCGAACTCGCTGGATGACGAAATCGACACGCAGCGCCCTACCGGCGCTACTGCCAATCGCCGGTGTTTTTCGGACCGTGGGGTCCTCAACCAACTAGTGAATTTGTTCTACGTGCTCCCGATCCGGATGGTGATGCAAAGAGACACAAGGTTTATACTGGTTCAGGCAATCGAGGCCCTACTTCCAGTCTGAGAGATCGATCTTGTATTCTTTGCACCGAGGTGCTCGTAGTAGGGGGTTACAAGCTAAAGGAGAGAAGGAGATGGTCCTAGGTCTCGGCAGGGTGCCATGCGGGCCGCTTGAGACGTTGCTCTCCGGTGGCAGGTGGAGGTGCGTGTGTGTTACAAGGTGTCCCCTGTCTCCCCTAAAACAACCTGTCCTCTCCTTTTATAGCATGAAGGGAGGACTTGGGCGGTACATGAGCTGACTATACGTCGTGTGAAGAGAGGCGTGTCGGCCCCGAACAGAGGCGTGGCGGCGTGGCTGTCCGGAGTGGTCCATCCTTGAGTATCTTTGGGCGGCGTGGTCATCCCATCAGTCCCGTGCGCGTGGGGCCCCCGGAATGCCTCGGAGTGGATGCGGCGGCGAACGTGCAAGCCATCGTGGACGGACCGTCGCGCGATGCCGAGGCTTGGTCGATGCCGAGGCCGCAATCGCGTGGGGGTCTCGGCAGGCGCGAACCCCAAGATCGCCGAGGCCTCGGTGTATAGTGCCGAGGCCTTGAGCGGGCGGCCGATCATGGGTACAGCGTTTGGACACAGTGGTCGGTAATCCCCGTCGTACCCTTTCCCAGTCGGTATGGTGCTGGTCGTGGACACAGTGGTAGGACACAGTGGTAGGACACAGTGGCCTGTCCCGGCCGGTATGGCGCTGATGCGACCTCGGGTCGCGTCGGCCATCCTGTGGCGTTGAGCCACCGTCCGGCTGAGATTGCGGGAGTGGTTGAAGCATTAATGAGACATGACGAGTTGTTGGGAGGGTCGGCCGAGACGGGGGGGACGGACCGTGGACGAGCCGGCCTCGAGCGACACGGAGAATGAGGCCTCGCGCGACACGGAGAATGAGGCCTCTGCCGAGGCCTTCCTGGATAGCCTCGGGCGAGACGGAGACGGCGGCCCCCTGAGGGCTCGGCGCCCCTGCCGAGGCCTACCTTGGGGAGCCTCACAGGGAGGCGTTTGTTCCGAGACCTCCTGCTCGAGGCTCGAGGCGAGGTGGAGGAGGGCTCGGTCGTGGCAGGTGAGGGGCCCACGGCTTACCTTCTAGCTTTGTTTTGATGTTTGCTTGGGGTACCCCGTTCTAAGATACCCGACAAATATTTTTTGTTATTATAATTTTATATAGCATGGTACGACTAATGAATCGTGTATCTTTTATTTTACTAGGTAGCGTGTCCGTGCGTTGCTACAAAAAAACTAATTTTTTTTACTAAAAACACATAGATCGCACAATAAGATAACACTACTGTAAAAATAAATACCAACGTTAAAGTGACATTTAATCCAAAAAAACAAAGTTCGTAAAATTAACACGGTCACGGAGAGTGCGGTGTCGTAGGCACACAAACTCTACCATATAGATCTTTCCGTGGTGCGGCTAAGATAATGTTTTATATTGGCAGAAAGAAATCTCCGATATCCATTTCTTCCATGCGCCAATAAATCCACGAATAAGTTCTATCGTATCTCCATACTATCATGTACATAGGTTCGAGTATATATGTAAATATTAGTACCTGTCACATGGGTAATATTGCGTGTCTTAAACAATGTCTCACAAAACCTTAAAACAAAGTATGTTATACTTACAATATAAATATGTGTGGCTTTAGGTCTATTCCACGCAGACATATAATGTAGAATAAGATATCCACTGGAGCTTCTATGGTAAGATTCACCATCAGCAATAAGATATTCACTTGAGCGTCTATAGCAAGATTCACCATCAGCAATAATATAAATTCACCTCTATTTTCTAAGGTCCATGTACATCATGTTTTACCTTCAGTTTTATCTTAAAAAATATTATAGGGTACAGTAATATATGCAAGAGATAGATCCAAAATGAACCGCCTATTCAGAACCCCTTCGATGTAAGACTGCAGCCAAAACTCATAACAAAATTGTAACTGTGGTCAATTCTACGGTGACAGTGACTCTCAAAATAAATCTACAGTGACTATATGATAAACTCCCTATGCCAAATCCTTCCCAATCAACCAACTGCCACAGCTGGTATTCATCATCACTCGCGTTGTGGTTTTGAAGAATGTTCATATATACAACTTGAAGGCACTATTTTCCAGAAAATTCAATATGATTTTGAAGGCACTATTTTCTAGAAAATGAACAATCGATCTCACTTGTTTATTTTAAAGATAGTGGCCCGTTCGCTTCGCTGAAAAAATAAACTGAAACACTGTTCCGGCTGATTTGCTGTGAGAGAAAAACACTGTTCTGGCTAAAAAGACAAGCCGAAAAATACGGATTATAAGACAAGCGAACAGGGCCAGTGTTACGTTCATTCGACCTGTTCGCTGGTTGGTTTCTGGGCTGATAAGCCCGGCTGGTGCTGGATTGTTGTGAGAGAAAAACATTGTTGGCTGACTGATAAGTCCTGGCTGAAACCAACAAGTGAACATGCTGAATATCAGGTAGCGAGCTAGTAACCACAAGGCATGAAAATAGATGAATCACCTTTGCTAGTGCTGAGATGGAGTCGTCGGCGTACTTGTATCAGGTCCAGACTCTGGAGCTGGCACAAAATTATTTAGTAGCTGCACTTATACAATGGACTTAATTCTACAAATAAACAAAGCGCATGAGAAACGATAAATCACCTTTGCTATGGCTGAGATGGAGTCGATGGCGTACTTATATCAGAAAATTATTTAATACTATAAGTAAACAAAGCTCATTCTAAATAAACACAGATATATTTATTACAACAGTAGTTGTAGAATGGATCATCATTACAGGTTTAACTAAACCAAAATAAATTATCTTGATAACTTGTTGCAATTTATTACTAAACAAGGGATAATACAGACTACTTATGGTATACAAAGGATTGGAAAACACTGATTCAGATAGAAAAACACTGATTTAACACTGGAGAACTCAATTAGCTCCGCATAGGAACTTGTTGAAGCACAAGCTTGCTGCTTAATTTAATGGTTTGCTCATCACAGGAATTCCTTGCTTTAACCCTTATCTCTGCTTGCTCTTTGCTTTTATGGTTAGCTCGGCACAAGAATTTGTTGCTTTAGTTGTTAGCTTTGCATCAAGAATTTGTAAATCATTGAACCAAGCATGCAGTTTTGAATAACATTAATTTAAGTCTCTTGTGAAATTTTACTTAAACTTAGATGACACTTGACTAAATCTATAAAATATGAAGTGTTGAACGAACAACAAAAGATCAGAAGATCGAATAATCTATCATTTCAGTGTATAGAATATAATCAATATAAAATAAGTAACTTGATTTGTAGAGGCATTTTATGAAATATAGTTAAATGTCCGTGAATTGCAACAGAAGCGTGTGTCTGTTATCTAAAAGATATACTATCATGATGTTGGTAACATCAATATCAATATTATATAAGTCTTCATGAAATATAATATATCGTACAGTTAATAATATAATCTCTCAATAGTTCTACGATACAAACTTGTTGCTCTATGTGTACTATTGGTTGGCTAATTCTACTTAGTATTTCATAGTGTCATGATTCGATGACTAAAACCATAATGAAAATTAGATATTAATAAAGTCTACAGTTATATAAAAGGAGTTTCCAGAGTTTCGATGACTTCAACTCCTACTGCTCAATTTTCTACTATATATCAGACCACAACGTGATATTGAATTACCTTCTGCTGACAAAGATTCCAACTGCTACTGCTCAATTTTCTATTACTATATGATGGTGAAAAATAGTGTAGATGTCCTTGGGCCTATCCAGGAAGTAGACGTGCCGCTCACCGGGCGTCCCGTACCGCTCGATCTTCCCGTCCCACACGCTGTCGTTGAGCGCCGCCGCGTACGCCAGGCCGCGCGGCCGGAAGTCGTCCAGGCCCGACGACGTGACCGCCACGCGCGAGCACACCACCTTCCGCCACTACGACGTCGGCATCGACAGCGGGTCCACCCGCGGATCGTCGATGCCGTACCGCCCGACGCAGATGAAGGACCACGTCGCCTCGTACTGGTGCCGCCTCGTCGGGTCTGTCGTCTCCCCGACCACCGGCTGCTTCCCCCAGAAGTAAGGGTCCAGGAGTAGGAGCCCCGTGATGGCTGCGCCGCCGTCCGCCCGCCGCCCACCCTCCTCCGTGCCCCCCGCGCGCATGGCCATGTTGTGTGCGATGTTGTTACGCGCCATTGCCCCCGGCGACGACGAAGAGCCGTGACAGTTTGTTCGGTCCCACACCACGCTCTAGCCCGGGACGCGCGTTCCGGGCCACCCCGATTGAGCGCCGCCACGAATCGTCATATGGCCGTCGTACAAATGCCGGTGCTCGGCGCCAGCGATACTCCACGGACACCGCCACCACGCGCTTTCGCCACACCCGTGTCGTACTGGTAGTGCAATGCGTGAACGCCAACTCGATCACGAACACACCACCGTGGTAGAACACCAGCACCAGGTGCCTGCCCAATGAGCGAGGATGAGGGAGGCCGCGCGATGGCGATGACTGCCGCCCGAGATCGATGAGTCACAGGATAAGGGAGGCAGCGAGGTTTCCTTCCTGAGATGGCGAGGCGCGAGGTTTCCTTCCCGAGATGGCGAGGCGTTTAAGCGAGGTTTCCTTGCGTGTGCGTGTGCGAGCGTGAGCGATCACGGCGCACGTCGAAGGCAGAGCCACGACCCGAACGATTGTCGCACCATTCTGTTGTTTTAGTTTTGTTCATAGGAGATTTACTTTGATCGATGCATTAGTTGCCTTTTAATTCTCACACGATTAGTCTTAAAATATTAGAGAACACCTGGTTTATGCTTTATTATTGACCTACCACACCATACGTGAGTAGCCCAGGGCCCACGATCCAGCCTCCCAAGGTCCAGGTGTCCTGTGTCCCCCGTGCGAAGCTGATTGCCTGAACTGGAATGCAGAAAGCCGCGAGAGCCTACGGGGCCCAACTGCGCACCGGGCCTTAAAATAAACAGATCTCTAAAAATAAATTCCAAATATCTGAACTGCTTTTCTCGCATTCTCTTTCCGTCCTTCGGGCTATATATGGGCAACGGGCCGGCCCAGCCCGACATCTGCCCAAATTTCGATCAGCACGGCATGTAAACAGGCACAGCGTCTTACGCCGGTTGTGCCTCCCTGGCTTCAGGTTCGCCGACGGCCCAAGCACGGCCCTCCGGGTCTGCTGTCGTCGTCGACCTAAAAAGCACACCAAAGCAAGCAAGTGGGGCTTCACCCATGGCCCACTACCAACGGAGAGAGAGAGAGAGAGAGGGAAAGGGAGGCCGGGAGGGCGTCGTCACCGCTTGAGGCCGCGCACTCGACGCCGCAAGGTGCGGTGCCCGGTGCCTGTGGTGCGCCCGTGTGGGAGGTGTGGAGGAGGAGGTGGCGGCGTTAGTGAGCTCGCCCCCCGGGCGCTTGATGCCGCAGATCTGACGAAGTAGCTGGCGGAGGAGGGGATGACGCGAAGACGTGGAGGAGTTGGGCGGCGCTGGCATGCTCGAGGACGATGCTGGGGGCATGGAGGAGGCGCAGAGGAGGTGGCCTCCGGCGCCCAGCGGTGTTGGGGATGCGTTGTCGCGGAGAAGGAGCGGGGGACGAGCGAGGAGCGAGAGGAGCGACCGAGCGAGGGAAGGGAGGGGGTGTCCGCGGCACCCGAGCGAGTGCGGCGTGGGGAGGGGCTATGCGTGCGCGGGGGGAGGAGAAGGGAGTTAGGGTTGAGGGGTGGGCCGTGGGGGCGTGGGCCTCTTTACTCTTAGCAGGCCGGACCGTCACCGGGCCATGCGCTGTGGACCGGGCCGTGCCGTGCTGGCATGTCGTGCCTGAGGTAAGGCCCATACACGACCCACTCCTTTGGGCTGTGCCAGCCCGGGCCCACTGGCCACCGGGCCAAACCGTGCTTGGGCCGGAAAAAAAAAGGGCTGACGGGCTCGGCTACATGCCCATATATACTTCGGGCCGGTCCTTCTCTTCGAAAAATCCATTTTTTCTGTTTAAATAAACAAAATTCCCTTCTCTCCTCAGTCTCCGCTGCCGCACTCATCCACCCAGACCCTCCTCCTCCCCCACCCACCTCGTCGGAACCCTAACGGCGACCGCCGGCGCTACCCATCGGCGGCGATCGCATTGCTGCGCCCCCGATGAAGACCCGCGCCTCCAAGTGAGTCACTCCCGTCGCCGATCTATCTGGCCCCTCACCTCCTCCCGTCTCGCCCCCCTTCCTTCAATTCTGATGCGGATTTGGTTGTCTGCCGTTCCGGTACCCGTCGCAGGAGTTACCTCTGCGCGGGCAGTTCGTCGTTCGATGACCCCGACGTGGTCGAGGTGTCTCCGGCCGCGGCTGCGGGGTGGGCCCCTAGCCACCACAAGAGGAAGCGGAGCCAGGTGATGTCTAAATCGCCTCCTCCTTTGTTCGCTGCGCCTAGTTTTGTTACCGTCGCTGTTTTGGAATCGGGAGTTGTGGTTTGTGGTGCGTGTGGGATGGTTGACGCGGTCTGTTGATGCCCACTGGATTGTACTGGGAGAATGGTTAGGTTATGTGTTCCTCCTACGATGATTGAGTGTCAAGTGAAAATGAGGGTCTCAGGCTGTGCAGAATTCATATTGCTTGTCAATAAATCTGGATACGTTGAGATTGGTCTGGTTGATTTTCTTTATTGTGCTAAGGAAATAGTGAATTCTGATTAGGCCTGATGGTTGTACAATTGCAGATTTCAGTTGATAAGTTAATTCATGTGTCACATATTTGAATAAAGGTGTGATGTGTTGTAAAGTGTTCATTTGGTAATCCATCTTATTGGTGTAGTAGTCAACCATGGAAGTATGGAACTAGTGGAATTTTTTTTTTTTTTTGCAGTATGTTCTCTAGCAAAAAGAAAAAAAAGAAAAAGAGCTTACCGACTCCCTGAACGAATTCATGGGAACAAGAACTCTTAGTTTCTTAGAGAACAATCAGCATGAGAAAGAAGAATTACATCATGACAATGCACACATAAGAATACTAAACTACCTCTAATAATATTAGTTCGGTTCCCCTTGCATCTTCATTTGATTCATCAGGTCCTTGATCCTTTTTGTGGACTTATGACAGTCTTCATCACCCAACAGACGTTAGATTTTTCCTTTCTTTGGTAATCACAGTAGCCATCTTATTTTCAATATGTTACACTGACAAACAAGTGAATTCTATTGTGGATGGCATATTCCTGGCCAGCCACCTGCCTGTACATGTACTTATATGCACCTTTATATATATATATATTGCTGCCAAAGATTTCATTTGGAGAAATGCTGGTCTGAAATAAGCTTTGATTTGAGATCTGTGACACTGAAAAATGCACCTCCTAAGTAAAAGTGCTGAAAACATTTCATAAATTTTATTGATGCCCTAGTAATCTTGTCATTCCTTGAATATTTTTTTGTTCATAAAGTTGTATGAAGAAGCTAATTTGAACTGCCATTTTTTTTCTTCAAATAAAGACATATACCATATGCATTGTGCACCCATGTCACAACTACATCTATGTCAGCCCCCCCTCTTTCCTGGTTTCTCTGCATTGTTTCTGTTCTAGAAAGATTGTCAGAAAAAGGAAATTATCTGCATTTTACTATTGAGCCCTTCAAAATCCAAGTGACCACATGGGGGGTTTATTGGGTTTCTTTTATTCTGTGCCTTTTCGTTATATGTACCAAGTGCTGACTAATAGGCGGCTAGGCGCATTCTGCCATAGTCTCATAGACATAGGCATGGTGCGGTTAATATACTAACGAATTGACAATGGCAGTGGCATTTGTCAAGTGCATATATGAGGGTAAAAGTTCATAGCTGCTGGATTGTTCCCCCTTTTACGCTGTCATTTCCTTTTTTAAAACTGTCTGAAATATCTTCATGAATCATTACATGTGGCATAATTTCTGTTCTTTAGGTACACAGGGTGAATGTTAAAATTATGACAAACAAATGCTCTTGTTTTATTATGGCAAATTAATAGCTTCTGAGCACATTTCATGTTACAATTATACTGTGTCGAAAGAGTGTTGCTTGCAGAACCGAATTGCAGTTCTAGAAACTACTAATTGATGCATTTTCTTCTGAAATTTGTGCTTGCTTGAACAATAGGTTGTACCTCAAGAAGTAATTGAAATTGATGATGATGATCCTGATGGAGTCATAATTATTGGTGATAAAGCACCAGTGGACAAGAATAAGCAAACTGTTGTATGCCCTATGAATTGGCCAAAGCATGGCAAGGTAAATTGCCTCGTATCTTTTTCTTTCTCATATTATTTGCTTTTATACCATGCAAGCTCAGACAGATTCTTTTCTGTGTAAATAAATTCAGAGTGGTTGGATTCAGGACTGCCCTGGCCCAAGCACATATGCTCCAAAACATACCAATTCCTGGGCTGACCTCAAAGTGTTTCAAGATGAGTCAGTTTACAACTATTCTGATGACTACCCCTATGAGGGATTTGAAGAAGACTATGCTTATGATGAAGATGAGTTTGAGGATGATGGTTATGATGCTCCACTTATTGAAAGTGAGTTTAAATTTGGTTTGTCTGCCAAGTTTGATAACCTTGATGTTCCACCTGGTTTGGAGGCTTCTTTACCGTGGATGCAGAAGACTGCTATTGAGATTGCAAATAAGACCAAACCCACTAAGGCTGTAGATGATAAAATCGAAGAAAAATACAAGGCCTTCAAAAGATTTGATACTGTTGATGATCATAGTGATCATTATTATTCAAAGCCAGAAAAGAGAAAGGTTCAGGTGGTAAAAAAGGTAACTTTCTTTTTGCCCTGCCCTTGCTATCATTTATTGTCTTGGTTCAGTTCAGTACTCAAAACATTATTTTAACAGCCATCAAAAGACTGGGTGAAACGTATTCAGCATGAGTGGAAAGTCCTAGAGAAAGATTTGCCAGGTAGGTAGCTGTTGCTTACTATAACGTAATTTTATGAATTGGTCGCATTAGTGTTTTTTAATAGTACCACACTTGGTGCAACCATGCCTTTGTGTTAGTTGAAATGCTTCTTTTGTCTTGAGAACATTTTCTTACTGTTTTTAGAACTTTGAAGTTCATAAGGGCCAAGAATGTTTATAATCTCACTCGTCTGCTTTCAAGAAAATATTCTAATTTGTATTTTTCTCCAAATTGAATAGATACTATATTTGTGAGGGCATATGAGGATAGAATGGACCTGCTTAGAGCTGTCATTATGGGACCAGCTGGTACTCCTTACCATGACGGTCTCTTCTTCTTTGACATTTACTTCCCTCCTCAGTATCCAAATGTACCACCGGTAATATTTTCTTGACTTGCACTTGTATATCAATTAATTATTTTCCTTGTTTCTTCAGTTTGCTTTATGGATCATGGGATGATCAGTTGATTCTATACAGATGGTGAACTACCGTGCTGGTGGTTTGCGGCTTAATCCAAACTTGTATGCTTGTGGGAAGGTGTGCCTTAGCCTCCTAAACACCTGGACTGGCAGTGGATGTGAGAAGTGGAATCCAGCCAATTCAACTATGCTGCAGGTCCTGGTCTCTATTCAAGCTTTGGTTTTGAATGCAAAACCTTATTTCAATGAGCCTGGCTATGCTATGCATGCTAACACAGCTCATGGGGAGAAGAAATCCCTGACATATAATGAAGATACGTTCCTGCTATCCTGCAGGACGATGTTGTACTCTCTTCGAAATCCACCAAAGGTATGCCTCTGTTATTGTTCTAATTATGGGAATACTACTTGTTTCAGTAGTATTACTGAGCTTTTCGAAACCAATAAAACAATGGCAAGCTTGCTGAATATGGGGCTTAACCGCTCGAACATGGAGATTTGATTTGTAGTATAGTACCTGTTGTGATAGAACTATTGTTTGTTTAGCCGTCTATGCTTTCATATGCAAATCTAACATGGATGTACTGCCCGCAGAATTTCGAGGATTTTGTTGCTGGCCATTTCTGCAAGTATGGGCGCAACATCCTTGTAGGTTGCAGTGCCTACCTGGATGGTGCCCAGGTTGGATGCCTTTCTGGTGATGGAGTGCAGGACGTCGATGAGGGTGATACGAGCTGCTCAGTGAGGTTCAAGCAGTCACTGAAGAGACTTGTTGAGGAACTTCTGATGGAGTTCACTGCGAAGGGCACGGACTGTGGCAAGTTCCTCACCGAGAAGGCAAGATCTGGAGCTTCCACATCCGCAGCGGACACCACACTGAGGCTGTAAGGCAGCAGAGTCGGCTTGCTCTATGAAATAAACTTAACTATTCAAGCTACGTCTCCTATCCCACACCGCCACACAGCAAGTTAATGCCTGAGCTGCCGAGCATCTAACTGCTTTCAGTAGGTAGTTTATGTAAATATCCCTGTCTAGCTTTTCTGGTAAAACATAAGCGACATATTCGGCGTTTAGGGACACCATTCTACCGTAGCTATATAGCCTGTAAGGGTATGTATGTGCTGCTTATATCTGCGGAGCCGTCGTCCGCAGCTCGGCAGCTTGTGTCGGGATATGATTGGGACCATTTTGGATATCAAAATGAGTTTGATCAGGCGATTCCTGCCTAATTCGTTCGTGTGATCTCGTTACCTCAGGCTGTCAGGCTCGGTGTGCCTGCACTGTAACTGTTCATTTATCGTATGACGATGATGCTCCGGTTTCCTGTCCTGCGCTCGCGGGCTGCCGTCCACAGGGAGAGATGCACTCGGACGAAGGACGACTGGACGAGCTGCTTTTACCACCAGGATTTGCCGCCGCAGCCCCGGCTACCTACGCACCATCTGAAGTCTGAACAAGCATGAACTGCGAGCCTTTGCTGGTTTGAGCCTGTTCGCTTGCTTATAATCTATACTTTTCAGCTTATTTTTTCAGCCGGAACAGTTTCGGCTTGTTTTTTCAGCGGAGCGAACGGAGTTATAGTTTGGATGCTCACACTATAGTGGTCTAGCTCTAGCCCATGCACGCTTGTTTCAGGTAATCAGTTCTTTATTTTCTCCCTGATTTTTCTGCCCCCAACTGGCCAACTGGCAACTGGGCACATGCTCCATAACGCCCACCCGCATGGGTGGATGCAAATTACTACCCCAACCAACGTTACATACAGGCGACAATATGATCAGATGAATAGTACATCACTACCCCGATAGATCTAACAAAAACATAATATCACTCGTCACCCCCAATGGATCTAAAAAGCCTATCACTTTGGTCATAAAAAAAGGAAAAAAGAAAATTTCCCACCCAATCCATGAACAAAGGAAGGGAATTCCCATCTTCTCATTCACCAATTTCACCAGTTCTATTCTATGGGCGGCATTAATTTTTTGCAACAAAATACAGGAGCTTCATACCTTGGAGAGTCATCATCGGGAGTGTTCTCGGTTAGACTTGTCCAAATGCCACGATGGGTTGGACAGAAAAAATAATGTTAGGTCAATTTTGGCCCGTGCCAACCTGACGGACACATCGAGCCAAGTCTAGTTGGGCTATTTCTCAAGTTTTTTTTCGGTAATTTCTATGTTAGCTAGGGTTATAGATAAACAACTAAGGGCCATTGATACACTTGCTATGTCAAGACAAATCAGGTTTTTTTGGGCGGGTCAAGTCATGTGGCCATGATCAGGTTTACTCTCGCTAAGGGGCCAAACTCGAGGAGAGTGTTGATTGGCAAGGAGCGCGGCTTGGGAGGGGGCAAGCTTAGGGAGAAGCTCAGCACAGGGTGAGGCACCACCAGAACTATGGACTGAACTTGGAACGGGAAAGAAGGTAGTTGCGAGGCTGGCCTCGGGCCACTATAGGTTGAGGAGGGTAGGTCTGGTCAAAGAGGGGCTAGATCTACGACTGATGATGCTTCCTCGGACGACTAAAGCCGGTGGCACAATGGACTACAGATGAATGAAAATAACACCAACAAAAATAGGAGGTCTCTTTAGAGCCATGGGGAGTAAAGGCTCGGAGCCTTGGACGAGAATTTTAGGGCCTCTTAAAAATGGTTGCCTTAGCAGGGGTCTGGTACAGTGATTTTTACAAGATTGTAAAATAAGGTCAAGTTGCATCAACAACATGGGAAAATGTAAATTAATACCTAGCAACTCTATGAATGATGAATAAATCACTGCCGCACTGAATCTAGTACGGTATTCACTCTATCCGAAAAAGAGTACAATTTCAACATAGTACTAAGGTAAAATATCTTGAGTTTCACTGACTATAAAAAAAATTAATATTTATAATATTAAATAAATATATTATATTTGTCACAAGACATATTTTTATACTATATACTCATTTGGTGTCATAGATATTAATCCTTTTACCTATTTGTTTGGTTAAATTTTAGATACTTTAACCAAGAACGCATCTAGAATTATATTCTTTTTTAAGAGAAAACAGTAACAAAAATAAGTCATTCTGGTAAAAAAAGGAAAAAAAGAGAGCAAAATTCCCATCGAATCCATGAAAAAACGAAAGAAAAAAACAAGAAAAAATTCTCATCGAACACATCGACAGCTTAAACCCGCGAAGTCAAGCCTACCGCCGCTCTTCTCCTCCCCCATCGTCCTCTCCTTCCCCGAACAGAAACCAGAAGACGGGCGAGGGGAGGGGGAGACGAGATCTCACTCCCCGCTTCCTCTCCACCTCCCAAATGGCGCCACCGAGCGCTAACCCTAGCCACCACCCGCTCCTCGTCCTCCCCCTCCTGCTTCTACTCCTGATCCCCGCCGCCGCCGCGGCGGATATCTCCCTGTCCGCCCTCTCCTACACCCACCACTGCCCCAACCTCCCGTCCGCGCTCGACCTGCCCGGCGGCCAAGTTTCGGCGCTCGGGCCCGACGCCCGGGTCCCCGTCCCCGAGGTCTCCACCGGGTACTTCGACGGCGGGGACCGCATCTTCGGCTCCGACACCTCCTCCCAGCCGCGCTCCTTCTCGCTGCTCCCCTCCTCCGTCGCCCGCACCACCAACGCCTCGCTCCTCCACGTCTCCGCCACTTTCACCGTCTCCGGCGGGCGCCGCCTGTTCCGCGACCGCGGCGGCCGGAACCTCTTCGAGTACGATGGCCGCACGCGCCACTTCCGCCCGCGCCTCCCGCGCTTCACGGGGCGGCGCGGCTCCATCACCTTCGGCCTGGAGGGCTACTACTCCACCGCGTCCGGGGACCTCTGCATGGTCGGTACCGGGTCCGGGCGCTCTGGCGACGGCACGCCCGTGCAATTCCTCCCCGTCGTGCTCCGCCTCGGTTTCCCCAGCCCCGCCAACGTGACGCGGCCCTTCGTCACCGGTCGCCTCGAGAACGTCGACACCATCAACCCCATCGAGCCCATCTCACTTGTCGCCTACGCCCAGGAGGGCTACGCGTATGGGGAGAGCGCCTCCTGCCCGCCTCCACCTGCAGGGAGGCTCGACGCGCTCCAGGTGTTCGAGAATAAGAATTTCTCGTGCGCCCACCTCAGTTCCATGCTCAAATCGCCATTCAGGTTGGACTACCCGAGTGGCAGCGAGTCGACCGCATCTTCACTGGGGATTCACCAAAGCTACATGTATGTCAACCGGATGCACTGCAACGATGATGGCGCTGTCCGTGCTTATGTGGCGTTCACTAACCAGACGGAGGTATCAAGGTACTACTTCACGCTGGGCGAGAAGGCTGTCGTGGTGGATGGGTTCTGGGATCAGAAGAGCAGCCGGCTTTGTCTCAAAGGGTGTCACGTGGTGAAGTCGGGGCCATCCCGTGCAGATTTGGCAGTGGGTGAGTGTGGAATTGGGATGAGCTTCTGGTTCCCGGCAGTGTGGTCGTTACAGCATCGGAGCTTTTCTGCTGGTCTGGTCTGGAATGCAAGTCTGGAAAGTGGTGAGGCCATTGCTGCAGGTTCTAGTGCAATCACTCCCAACTTTAGGGGCAATCTTTCTGGTTTGAAGTATAATTACACTAAGGTGGTTGAGGCTCTGAAGCACTATGAGAAATCTGGATTGAACAAAAACAGGAAAGGAAAGTTCCCAGACAGTAATTCATACCGAGACTTGGTGTTCCGTTTTTTCGTGAAGAAAGGAGGCGGCTCTGGATATGCCTCACCTGTCACAATTGGGTCAATGTTGTTTGATGGCAACTCTTTGGTGGTTCAAGATCCCTTTTCTCATCATGTCACAGCCGAGATGAAGCAAAGATTGCTTAATGTCAGCTATGATATCTACTATGTTGGGAATTGGTCTCTAGAATCATTCAATCGTCGACATATCTCTGCTGAGGGTGTTTATGATACTAAGACAGGTTCCCTTTGCATGATCGCTTGTCGAGAGCTTAATGTCTCGTCAGATTGTGAAATTCTGGTGACTGCTCAGTTTTCTTCTTTGGATGCAAAAGTTGCACAGCATGTGAAGGGGACAATCAAAAGCTTGAGGAAGAAGACTGACCCTCTTTTCTTTGAAACACTGGACATTGCTTCATATGGGATGTATGTAGAGCAAGTGGATGAATCAATATGGAGAATGGACTTAGAGAGCACCATGGCCTTGATCTCTATGACACTAGCATGCATCTTCATTGCTGTGCAGCTATTTCATGTCAAAAAGGTCCCTGAAGCGCTTCCTGCCATGTCTATCACCATGCTTGTTGTTCTGGCTTTGGGCTACATGATCCCTCTTGTGCTGAACTTTGACGCTCTCTTCAAGAACAGCAACAAACAGACTGTTCCACTTTCAGGTGGCGGATGGCTTGAAGTGAATGAAGTTATGGTGCGAATCATTACCATGATAACCTTTCTGCTACAGTTGCGGCTTCTTCAGCTGGCTTGGTCTGCACGATCTGTGGATGTCAGCAAAGCTGAGTCGTGGGCCGCTGAGAAGAAAGTCCTCTGGATATGCTTGCCACTGTACATCATTGGGGGAGTTATTACTTGGGTTGTTCACATGAGGTCGAACCACAGCCGAAGAATGCTAAGGCAGGTTGTCCACTTGAAGCCAATTGAGCATGCATTCTGGGAGGACCTTGTGTCTTATTGTGGATTGATACTCGATGGGTTCTTGCTCCCTCAAGTGATCCTAAATGTGTTCTCAGATTCCAAAGTTAGAGCCCTTTCCCCAGGGTTCTATATTGGAAGCACCTTAATCCGTGCCCTGCCTCATGTGTATGATGTGTTCAGGAGACAGCATTTTGTGCCCAGTTTGAGACCATCTTACATGTATGCAAGCCCTCATGATGATCTCTTCAGCCTCGCTTGGGACATCGTCATACCTTGCGGAGCACTGCTACTGTCGGTGCTTCTCTTCTTTCAGCAGTGGCGTGGAGGAGCTTTCTTCCTTTGTTCGAAGAACAGGAAGACAAGAGAGTATGAAATGGTTTCCACAGTCAGTTCCTAAGAAAAGTCAAGTGGATATGAAATGTTTTTATAGTCGGTTCTTGACAAGTCTTATCATTGTTGCAAGGGAAATATAGAGGAGGTTACATATAGACTAAAAAATAGCTGTTTACTTTCTCGATCGATGTTTCTTTTTGCATTGGTTGCAGCAAAAATCACGTGCATGTATACGAAAGACAATACTACACAAGTTGGGCAAGTATTTGGATCCTGATTTAGGATTATTATTACCTTTTATTTACTCTGTTGCTAATTGGTGAGCAGTATTCTTCTCAATTCTCATGTGCTAGCTGCCTAGCTCCTCTCTTTCAGGGATGGTAATTCGCCTCGTCTTTTGTGTGGGATAAGTGATTTTGTATCTAAAGTTTCAGTGCACTTCCTGTGTGTAAGGCGGATGATATCACTATTCCATGGCGATGTTTACAAATCATACAGTTGAACCTAGTCGTCATGGGACCGACTAGGCGACTAGATCGGTGGGTCGGTCCTAGTCGTCCATACTATACGTACCTATCTGTATATACATATACGTATACACAATAAAGCAAGCATTACGACCATACTAGTGGCTAGTTGGTGACTTACTTGTGAGAGTTGATTGCTGGCATTTAGTTGGTGACTTACTTGTGAGAGTTGATTACTGTCATTGTTATCAAATCGTCTAATCGATTCTATTAGATCCTAGTTGGTGTGGCACATTGATCATCAAATCGTCTAATCGATCCTAATCGCCATGGCACCGATCAGCTTGACCAATCGCGATTACTTGTGCATAACTGATTGGCATGGCACTGATAAACCCGACTAATTGTGATTAGTTAGACGACTTGATAACATTGATTTATGTATACACAACGGTGGTGCGACACCTTAGTACCAATAAGCAGCAGACCGGCAGCACAACAAACAATCAGAGTAGCAGAGGGGCAGTGGCACAAGTAAGGAAGGGGGCAGCGCTAGCGCTCAGATTGAGGGATAGGGGAGGAGGGGAAGAAGATGGAGGGAAAGGGCACACTCAATGTCAGCAGAGTCATCACGAAGGGCGGCAAACTTCACCACAGGAACGACACATCACAAAGAATAGCACGCAGGAGACGAAGAATTGCACACGGAGGAGCGTAGGAGATGATGAATAGTGCATGTGTGGGTGGGTTGGGGGGTATTCATGCGCGGGAGGAATTGTGATGGTATGGGAGAAGGAAAATCAGTGTTGCTCCATTCTCTATGTTTTTAGTGGAGTTTGGGCACACTTATGCTAACCTAACAGGCCAAATTGGTAGCCTGATAACCCACCTCTAAGCATAGTTAAGTAGGCACATGAATAGGACATGCAGTTACAATCTCATAGATCCAGTCTAGTCCTCCTCCTCCTCCTAGTTGGACAACTAATCATGATTAGACGACGACTAATCGAACGACATCGAGCTAGTCATCTTGGTAGCCCTGATCGACATCCAGAGACCAATTAGACCCATTATTCACGATTAATCGGACGACTTGTATACACTGCTCCATGGTGAAAAACTCTGGATTCGTGTCCTGATTGAAGATTTTGAGCCACTGGACGCCTTCTCAGTTCACTCTTCATAGCTGTAACAATGTTTTGCTACCACCCTTGTTGGACGGCGTCACACTACCCTCCACGAACCTTCCTCGTACGTGTGAGAAAGGTCTCTGGTCTATTCTAAAGACGTTACAGGGCGCTAAAAAGTGAAGTGCGACGAGAATTTCAGTGTTGACACGGTCGCAGACCATGGAAGTCTCCAAGGTCAGACAAACAGAAAGGGCTACTACGTATGACTTGGGACCAGATGTTATGTTCACTGGCATGAAAAGATGGCTGGAAAAAGTAGGTTGAGCCTTCCTGGGCAGACGGCTGCGTACACCACTGCCACAGGTCTCGTCCCTACGCTGAATGAACCTGCCACTGCTGACGATTTCGGAAACCCAAGAAATCATCGGGCGTTTTTTTACTCTAAAAGTTCGCTCGGGCTTATAAGTTGTAACTTTTCAGCCAATCAATATTTTTCTTTCACAACAAATCAGTCAATAGTATTTTTAGTCATGACTTATAAGCCAATCGAAAAGGGCAATTGTCTCTGCAAAAATACCACGCGACACTGGTCAATCATACTTTAACAGGTCACAATAGCCACTTGCTGCAGCCGGTATATAGAAGAAGGAAAATGAGACGACGAAGCAGCAAGACTCCAACACAGGGGCTTTCAGTCTGACACGGCTGCTTCCTTCGTATCCTACGCGTCGATCGTCCTGACCTGAATTCTGATCTCAGGATCAGCAGCCCCGGCATGGCCCGCGGTCTCCCAGTTCCAGTCCACAGAAACGCTGAAACCCCCGTGCCCGACTCCCCGTTTTGGCCCCCGACCGGTAGCAGCCGTAGCCCCAAGCAAGCTCCGCTTTGGCTTATTTAGCTTATAAACTATACTTTTTCATATAATAAATAGTATTTTTTTCTTACATCAACGGTATTTTCAATCGTGCAGTCAAAACATGCCCAGTCGAAGCTCCGGCTGCCCCGCCGCGACAGCGACGAGCCCCGGCCCCCGGCCCCCGACCCCGTCAACCCGCCGCCCGCACGTCACTCCACTGACGCGTCCCCCCGGACCACCATACACGATGGTGCCCCACCACCCCACGACCTTGACCTCGCCCGCGCCGTCGCTGTCCCCCGTCCGCGCCTGCAGCAGCCCCCGCACGCAGCCTGCCCCACCCCCAACGCCACACACTACCGGACCAGTCGACCAGCTGTACGCCTTGCCGCGACGGGCTGCGCTACGCTGCGCTGCGCAGTCCACGCGCACGCCCACGCCGCACGGCATGCCGATGGAATAGTACCGTACCGTGCCGGTGGCGGCACAGCAGCAGCAGCTCCGGCTCGGGCCGGCCTTCCCCTCGCGGCTGCGTCCGTTATAACCCCTGCCCGGAGGCACGGGGCAGAGCAGAGGGGGGACCGGACGACGGACGGACGATGACGACGACGCGGGGCACCTCGGGCGCGCGCATGACCGCGCAGGACGCGGCGGAGGCGGCGGTCGGCGCGGTCGGTTGCGGCTACGACCTCACGGGGGACCTCCGCCTGGGCCGCGCCAAGCCTGGCGGCCGGCTTGTGGACCTCGACGCCGCCCGCGCGGGCCCGTCCCCGCGGGACCTGGCGTTCCCCGGCGGTGCCGTCGTGGCGGGCGTGCCGGGCGGGGTCGTCGCCGACAAGGGCGAGCGCGCGCGGTTCCGCTCCGACGTGCTCCCCTTCGCCCAGATGGCGGAGCAGGTGAACCGGTCGCTGTCGCTGGCGGGCAGCAAGATCCCCTCGGGCGCCTTCAACGCCATGTTCGACTACCGCGGGTGCTGGCACCGCGACGCCGCTGCCACGCGCAGCCTCTGCTTCGACGCCCGCCTCGTCGAGCTCTACAGCGTCGAGGCCGTGCGCGCGAACCTCGCCCTCAGGGAGGACGTCAAGAGGGACCTCCCGCCCTTCTGGGATCCCCCCGCGCTCGCCGAGTACGTATCTTATCGATCGTCCCAGGCTCCCAGCAGCGGTGGCGCGCAGCGAAGCTGAAACTGAAACTAATGCTGCTGCTGTGCTTCCTGCAGGTTCATCGACAAGTACGGGACCCACGTCATCGTCGGGGTGAAGATGGGAGGGAAGGACGTGGTGTGCGTGAAGCAGCTCAAGGGCTCCGACCTCACGCAGAGCGACGTGCAGGCCCGGCTGAAGAAGCTCGCCGACGACCGGCTCTCGTCCTCGTCACAGGAGGATTCCACGGCAAGTTCCACTTCCACCGCGGGAGACGGCAGGTTGTCGCAGGGGCTAAACGTGAGCACTCGTCACTTACTTTCTTCTCTGCCCACATGTAGGAGTACATATTGTCTCATCGTGTTTGAAAAAAACTGAAACTTGGGAGTCCATACCATACAAGTACACAACCGAGTGTGAAATGAATGAGCAAAGTCTTGTTTGTGTGTGCTACTGCTACAGGGAAACTTTGGCCCTGGATCAGCCGCCTGGCAGTCCTTCAGATCACCCGTTGTGTCTCACAAGGATGTAAGCACGCAGTTTTGCCCCAACAGATTTACTGCTCGTCACAAATGTTCAATGTGCCATGATGGCGCCAACAACAGCCAGAAACAAACCTAACCCTCTGGAAGTGGGACCTCGCAGGACATCGTGTGCATTCACATCAGGAGAGGCGGCGTCGACAGCGGGCAGTGCCACAGCAAGTGGCTCTCCACCATCACCGGCTTCCCGGACGTGATCTCCATGTCGTTCGTGCCCATAACGAGCCTGCTCACTGGCGTCCGGGGCAGCGGCTTCCTCAACCACGCCGTGAACCTCTACCTCAGATGTATGTATGTTGTAAAGCGTGTTGTAACTGTAGCAAACTGTCAGTCTAATCTGAAGTTCATCAGATGTGTGGTGTGTGTGTGTTGGATGTCCTGTCTAATCGTCGGTTGGTCTTTCATTTTTCCTGCTTGTGGAATGGAACCAGACAAACCGCCCATAGAAGAGCTCCAGCAGTTTCTCGAGTTCCAGGTGCCACGCCACTGGGCTCCAGAGTTTGGTGAGCTCCCGCTCTGCCTCCAGCGGAGGAAGAACAGCCTGCCGTCTCTCCAGTTCACCCTCATGGGCCCTAAACTTCACGTCAACACTGCCAAGGTAGCCATCAATCACTGTTCTAGTGTTCTCCCGTACATACACAGCTCAGCCAAACTCTGTCGCGTCCGCGTGCGTGCAGGTCGATTCCTCCAACCGCCCGGTGACCGGCATCCGGCTGTTCCTGGAAGGCAAGAAGAACGACCGGCTGGGCGTCCACCTGCAGCACCTGTCGGCGACGCCCGGCGCGGTCACGGTGCTCGGCGAGGCCGCGTCGGCGGAGGACGTGGCCGTGAACGAGCGCGACTACATCGAGCCCGTCCGGTCGCCGCTGCTCTCGCACATCTGCACGGCCCCCGTGCAGTACAACGGCGCGCGGATCGACGACTGCGCCGCCATCGTCACCAGCGCGTGGCTCGAGGTGCGGGACGCCTGCTGCCTCAAGAAGGTGCTCTTCCTGCGCCTCGGCTTCTCCGGCGTCGCGGCCATGAAGATCCGCCGGTCCGAGTGGGACGGACCTTTCGTCGTGCCGCGAAAGTCCGGGTCGCTGTCGGCAAGGCTCAGCGCCGCGCTGTCCGGGGGGCTGGCGCCGGTGCCGGTGCCGCCAGCGGAGGAGAAGGTGGAGGTGAACTCCGCCATTTTCCCCAAGGGCCCGCCGGTGCCGCTCCCGGTTCAGAAGATGGCCAGGCACATTGACACCACCGAGGTGAGCAGGGGACCCGACGACCTGCCGGGCTACTGGGTGGTCACCGGCGCTAAGCTGTGCATGGAAGGCGGCAAGGTTGCGCTCAAGGTCAAGTACTCGTTGCTCATCGCAGTGCAAGAGGACACTGACGGACGCTGATCACGTTTGAGGCCTCCATTGCCGTCGACGGCTCAACGTCTTTGTGTCTTGTTTGCCGTGGTGTACAGTTCAGCTGTGCGCATGTGTAGATAATGCAGAATTGCAGAGTGCGCACGCTGCATACAGAGAGTCAAGGCAGCTATGTTGTACAGAATACAATTTTGGTTTGTTGATTCAGTTCTTGCAAATCTAGGAACAGTTTAGGTTTATATATATATATATATATATATGGAGAAATTACCCGATTTGATTGAGCATTCAATATGAGAAAATAGTGCTGGGTTGCCTCTGCTATTTCCCCAAAATTTGGCATGGTCCTGCATCAGATGAGTTTGTTTTGCAGGTATGGGCTGCATCAGACATCCACAAAGCAAACCAGAAGAAACGGTATGTTTGTTTTGTTATGGCCGGCCAGTGTCTGTGTGAGCTCAAGTACATATTGTCCCCCCCATCATCCAAGTATATCTATGTCTGTTACATATAAGCCAACCGCATGAGACGCAGGGCACGCCCAGTTGCCTCCTAACTACGGTGTGTGAGTCATCGTTTACTTTGGGTGAAAACTCGAGGCTTAGCTTAAAACCTCTCTGCAGTATCAACCACCGGCCGTGCCTCCACACGCTTCCTATCAGAAAGGTAAGGGCCCCGTTTCACCGCATCATTCAACTGCACCAAAAACGTTTTGTGTTGCTTGTTAACGTTTTAGACACAAGCAACGAAAAGTGACAGATACTGGCCCTGAGAAAGTCTACCTTCCCAATGAGTCCAGAAAGACTTGCTTCATGAAGAAGATGGGATGATGATAGGGCCTTGTTAATTGCCACACAGCAGTTATACCGGGATTCCATGCCTACAACATACCATTACAGTAATTGGCTCAATAAATGGAAATTAGCCCAGTGCATGGTAGGATTTGTAAACTATGAATGACTTAATCATGGCAATGCATTCAATTATAACCAGTTTGACAAAAACAATTCCAAATGATTAAATAATTACCATAATGCAGCACTCCTGTTGAAACAAGTTCAGATGGTTATAATTACTTCATTAGGACCAAGTGTATTAATTACTTACCAAGTTTTGTTGTCTCCATTGTTGGGTCTGTAACAAATCTGATTATCTCTGAATTTAAGCAAACCTCCCTTAAGCACCATTCCCGGATGACCAGTCCTGATATTACTCTGTAGCCCTGCAGATGGTCATGCATTTGACATTCATCAGGTTGTGCACAATAACAATATCCAAACTAACGAGTTAAGAAAATATTCATTCAAAATGCAAAAATAACTTTAACGAGCATAAGGTGCTTACAGCTATCCTAATGTCCGGGTCTTGTTGCAGAATTGATAGTAGAAGAGCCTGGCAAACAATCAAGAGAAAAAGGCTAATAAAAAACACAACTAAGAAGGCAGAATCATAAGCAATTCAGATAAATGGACAAACTAGAAAAACTGTTGCTACTAACTGAAGGGGTTAATTTTGGACTGTTTGCTGCAGTCGTATAGACCAAGCGCTTCAAGTTTCCTTCGGCTTCGCCATCAAGTTTCATCTGGTCTTCTTGTCTATCCATACCACAGATGCTCCCAAAGGCATGTAAAGCAGCCTGCATATGTATCATAACGCATAAGAAGGATAGTTTCTAACAATATGACTCCTTTACAGGTAACAGGTGATGATTTCGATCAAAGCATGCAAATAAGTATACAAACTTACCAGTTGTCTACCTCTGCCTTGTCGGTCAAAGGAGGACTCGACAACATGTCTGGCAACATTTGATGATGTCAGCAAGAAACGTGCTCCTTGACTTGCTATTGTACCATAAAATCAAAGAAACAGTAAGGATTTGTTCTGGCAACGTGGTGAAGATTTCAATACTATCAAGCAGAAGCATGACTTACTTGTACCAATTAGACCCAAGGTCTCCAATGCACTCTCAACTTCATCGGTATTCTGGCTTTCTTCCATCTTCAAAATTTTGTCTATGGCTACAAGCAGATTGGTAACACCTAACATGGGGAAATCTTGATTAACATGTCAGTCTAGTTTCACATGTAAGAAAACTACAGAAGATGGTCGTATGATAAAATTTAAAGCAGGATGATGAAACATTTACAATAAAAAACCTTCAATGCTCAAAGTTGTGGAACAATTGGTAGCCGGAAGTTTGACGACTGAAATGGTGTATTGATGCTTACAGGATTTATCTATTGCTGTGAAAGCATCAGCTGAAGAAAGAAGCCTCCCACTAATTAATGCTGCCCTTGACCGTATAACAGAATCAGCTGAGGAATCACTGCACACAGACCAAAAGAAAAGACAGCATATTATAGCTGAAAACATAACAGAAGGAAAAACAGAGATATAAAGGCATAAGAAAAGTACTTGATGATATCAATTATGAGTTGAAGCAAGTTGGTCTTCAGCAGGAAAATGTTGCTGTGAGGGTGTTCAACAAGCTGCAGTGTCATAGAAGAAATGGTTAGCCAAAATATATAGCTTCTCCAAGAAACTCCAGAATCTTGAACCCATTGATCGTGATCATTCATTAGATAGCAGAATACCTATGACTGCCAGGATTATGTAACATGTTCACATGGTACAGTAGACAAGGAAACAAACTACAATTATCACAATGCGATAAACATTGGTTCACCAACAATCTAATATGAAATGATATTAATGCAAGTCTTCTGCAAATGAATCACGGCTTGACGAGTTTTTACACAACGGGCACCATTAAAAAACAATAAAAAAACATTATTATCTTAAAACTTAAGGGATATAGCCCCTTCTCCTTAAAAACAGTTTTTCATATGTAAATCCGTTTTTCAAAAGATAAATACATAAATCAAGTATTCACAATGAAACTCTTAGTGAGATAGCCAAATATTAAGACATGCAAATGAACATAAAAAAATCCTTTTACCTCATATAGGACCTCCAGCGCACTGAGGGTTTTAAGCATATCCCTTCTATCTTTTATTTCCTCTTCAAATATGCTCAGAAGGTTTGAATCACGAATGGCAGTAGCAGTATAACTTGAAACAGTGAAGAGCTTGGCTATCAAAGATAGAATACGAATCCGTGGCTACCATAGCGAGAAACATGAATAACAATTGGTCATGTTGTGGTCTACATATCAACAGTAAGAGCATCCAGTACAACATAAACAAAAGTCACTCAGTAGTAACTAATTTTATTGGCACCACGTAAAAGGGAAATGTACACAAAGATTTGATGACATCCTATAATGCATGCAACTTTGGCCATTACTATCTTACATGGTAAATACTCTGGAAGACACATGAAAATGATACTAATAGATTCATTATAAATAGTATTGATGTGCCATGCTCATTATCAAAACACAAAGTCCTCTGTCCCAAGTAAGTTGGGGTAGACTAGAGATTAAACTCAACAAGAGCCACAAACAAAGATGATACAATAAAGTCAAAAGATACCAATAATAGTAGCAATTGTATTAGGTTTTGGTGATATCACTTAATACTTTTGTGCCATTGTAACTACATTTAAATTTGATGGCATATAGTTAATAAGGTCAAACACAAGTGGATCAGATCATATGCAATATTGATTAACTGGTTCGTTTTAAAGCATGTTGTGCATGTAGACCGGCATTGGTCCACGAGGGCATGACTTGTTGTTAATTTGTTATTTGTTGGTTCTGCAAAATATGTGCCATAAGAGGACACACAACTCCATACCAATGAGGATGACTGAGCCGCCACTTTACCAAGTTGCACAGATCCTTGACCATCTGGTGGGAATATGACTTCCTACAAACAGGAAAGAAATAGACTAAATGTCCATCACTCAGAAAAAAATGTTCAATACTAAGAAGAATTATTGGACTCACGGCTCCTTTAGGAATTTGTGCTAAACGCTTTACAGTGTCCAAAATGATTGCTGAAATCTCTTCATCTCTGCAGAAACCAAAGACAGCAAATGAAATTTTATCACCAAGTTACAATGCATATGATTCAACAGGATTGAATAAAGTGTGTGCGTATAAAAAATAATACCCCTCAATCAAACAATTGATCAGAAGAGGATACAGATTGTGCTGCACAACTGTTTCCACAGCAGCAGCACCATCTTCAGCCTTGTCAAGAAGATGGAGTACCTGATATGGTGATACAGAATTTCAGTCAGTGGCTTGAGACATTGTTCTGCCAAAAGTTTGTAGAACATTTTCAAAACTGAAATGAAGAGCACCATACATGAAAGGGGATTAGCATGAGTTGCAGAGCACACAAGTGCTCTGTCAGCACAGTGAGCACACAAAGTTCAGTGTGACCATTTACTCTAGAGAATATAAGCTACTCCAAATTAAAGAAACCTTGAAGGAAAATCTTTTAAAAAAACTATGTACTAGAAGGAAATTGTCTTTATCCATTTGCCATCTCAAAGAAGCAATCAAATGAAATTACAATAAAAATCTATAGTATGCATTGTGCTTAGAGATGCACTTAGAAATGTACCTGAATGTGTACTTAGAAATGGATAAAGGAAATTGGAGTTAAATAAAGATAACAGATAAAACCAAGTTTTCGAGTGTCCATGCGAGTAACAAATAAAGAGCAGCAATTGCGAGTAACATGCACTTAGAAACCCGTTCAGGTACATACAGCTTTGCAGGCTAATTTTCTGATTTGCTTCGAATCTGTGAGCAATCCAGCTTGAATAAATGCCTGGAATATAAAAATACAATGGAGACTTCAGATCATCAGTATGCATGAGAACTAAGCAAGGAGTTTTCACAAAGAACGAACATTGATCATTTTGTTAGATATTTTTAAATATGTTGTGCTAGGTAAGAGTAGGTGGACATGTCTAGATAGCAAGTCAGAAGGAGATAGTTACACATACACCGTAGCTTGGCAGAAGTGACGCTCCATATCTTGAGGAAAATATTTTGTCTAAACACTCCGTGACAGTTTCAACCATCCCAGGTACATCTGCTTCACTCTGCAATG